GAAAGTTCACTCTAGTCCTTGTTCTGCCCAAGCTATCTAACCGGCTCTTCTAGGTGAAATTATTTTCAAGCCGTCCAACTGGACATGTACTGATTATTCACCATGGAAGCGTTCTACAAATACCTTGGAAGATATTTCAACATAAAACAAAGGAGGCTACCGGATCTTAACAGAAGTGTCCCCTAGTGGGTTTGTAGTTTTCCGATATCCCCAACAATACACATATAGTATGACCATTAAACTATTCGAAGCGTGACGGAATGGCGTTGAAAAAGACGAGGGCAACGACAGTTTTTGATTGCATGCCTCAGATGTACCTACATAATACTTGTTCAGGGTGTATAAGAAAGCTTGGAAAGAGAAAGCACGAATAGTCAAGAAAAAAAGAAAGCACAGGTAATGGCTGAAATACCATCATCAAGGTCAAGACAAGTGGAGTCTCGGTAGTGTAAGTTATAAGGAGGACAGTGGTTGGTGAAAACACACAAGTACAGGCTTAAATCTGTCNAAAACCTAAAGAGTTGAGGGCGATAAAAGTAGGGCTTGGGTCAAGTAGTAGTATGCTGCTGAATGGCCTCCAGAGTGACACCCACTTTGCGCTTCCACCATATTTTTCCCCAAATTGGGAAAAAAACCCTTCGACCTCTGTACTTAGCTCTTTCTCGAAGAAGCATTACCGGATTGAGGGGAGAGGAGCTGCACACATAACAGTAGGGTTTTGAACTAACTAAATTTCGACGATCTGTTCATGACTCTCTAAAACGGCCCCGCTTCCATTCTCCCCAACATCGCTCTCCCTCTCTCCCTACAGCGGATGTCGTGCCGACTACAGTACCACTGAGAAATCGTTCTCGTTTCTTGTTTTTTAGATGGGAAAAGAACGAAACAACGACAAGTTCTTCAAGATGGTAGTAACTTAATGGGCGAGTAACTACACGAGGTACATTAAGGTAGTAATTAAAGGATTGTGGAAGGGGAAGATTGCTGATGGAGCAAGCGCGTACTTAAAATTCCTAGTCACAGACCCAATCCCGTCCAAAAAAACATCCATTTCCCCCATCAACTCAACTGACGGGCATTTCCATTTTGGAGGGCGGATGTACATAGTAATTCTGTAACATTTAGGCTCATACCTACCTACCCTTACGAAAAAAATTGCCTAGGTAGGATATGCATCTGAACAGTCCCCAATATCAATAAAATTTCAATTTCGGGTCCACACTGGAGGAATTGATTGACGCTGACTACATTACTGTTTACTTTTCGTTCACGAGCAGTAGCATGGCTGGCTGAGGGCTTTATTGGAAGGAATTGGAAAAGGAGAAGATTGCTACTGCCATTCACTTCATTACCCGAAGGATTCTTGGAACTGATGACGATTAACCAATTTGCGGCCCCCCAAGACATTCGGGTTGAATAGCACAAGAGAGCAGACATACGAGTAGGCAATCATCACTTTGATAGAACACCTCAACTAGGTTTTTGGTTCCGATTTCCGCTTTCCGTCTCAGGGACTCGATGTAAAGGCTAATCAGAGCTCTCAAGCGGTAAACGACAATGAAGTTCTACCCATGTACACAGCCGTCTACCTCTAGCCGTAATTCGATCCCTTCAGGTAAACCAAAACCCCCTTTCGTTGAGGAGGCTTGTTAGCAACACGTTTTCAGCCAGGAAAAAATAGCAGAAAGGGCTCAGCCGCCCAACTAACTTCAGGGACTCTACCCGGAGGCTTCTTTGATCTTGGTTGGAAGACGATCGTGGAGGAATGCCCGAGGACAATTAATTATTCATACATTCATGACAGCTTTCTGCCATTCTTCCAAGTAATGAGAGATAGATGATGAATGAAAAATCCAAGAGGCTCGGGTATTGATTAATAGCCAACAAGAAAAGTCCAAAAGGGAGAATGATTGATTAAATCCCATGGGAATCCACCAGGAACTAGTCATGATTCATTAGAACGAAGAAAAAAGGAAGGACTTTGATCTCAGCTCCATTGAACTCATTTCTACCAACCTACTTCATCGAGAACGTTCGAAAGGTGAATTTAGTGCAGGGGCGAGAGACGTGAATCAATTTCAGTGGCTTCCGGATCAATCCCTTTCATGGGACAACAAACCCTTCAGTTCTTGCACCGATGAATTCATGCATATCCAATTCAGAATACGTTTTTGGTAGAGTAAATAGAGAAGGACAGAGTAAATAGAGCAGGAATGAGTAAATAGCTTCTGAGACCTCGCGAAGTAGTAAAAGTAGTAGTCGTGAAGCGTAAGACAGCTTCTTGCCAGCTTCTTAGTCCTCGTAACTGTCTTTTCTCAGAGCTTAGAGAGGATTACTACCGGAAGCACAAACGAGAGATAAAGACGGAAGTCAAACATTGCCTACTTAACTAATCGGTAATTCACAGAAGCTACCAAAAAAGTTAAAAAAGTTACCGGGGAAGGGATAGAGGGGATAAGTAGTACCAGCTGAACCATGTAAGTTCCATAAGCGGGGGTGTGACCCGATATGGAGACCAGATGCCGGCTCCAATCTCGTGCTGACCTGGGCCTTCTAGACACTTGTTGTTTACAAGGTTACAAATTACTTAACTACCACTCCGGGCGGTGGTAGTGTAGTGGCTAGTGAGTACTATCAGACCAGGTTCGAACCTCGGATCGATATCCGCCTGACCCATCAAGTCTTTCAGCCCTCTGGAGTTGGTTAATTAGTACTAGACTCGTGTGGGAGGATAAATGTACTGCCTGGCCATAGCAAGTCATTGTATAAGCCACATACGCATCCAATACGCCACTGCGATTCCCATTGGAAGTCGAATGCAGGGGTCAGCCCTCAGATGGGAATCATTAACGCCCAAAGACTTTATCCCTCAACTTCAATTACTAGCTCACTATCAGCTCATAACGCGAAAGCACTATAAGTCAAATGCAACCTTGAAGGCTTCCACAATTCTCACCGGAGGCATGGCGCATTCCCGAGATGTGCAAATCGTATCAAGCCGGGAGTGCTCGCTCTCGGCCATAACATTAACCAAATGATGGGTTTCAGGGGCGTTTTCATGCATCGGCCGAATTCTTCGACACAAACATCCGCGTTTGGGGTAGTTTTTACTGGTAATCACTCTCGCACGATCACAGGTTTGGTGAGGGTGGGGAGGTCGCCGCCGCCGTATGGGCGGAAAGAGCCAAATTGGTGCAACGATGCACGAGCGACAAATAGCCTTAACAAGGCCATCGTCGATCAGCACCTCCACTATTAACGGTGTGCGTACATGCGAGATAAAAAGGGGAGCATTGGGAGGGAGACAGTACGAGAAGCAGACTGTCAGAGAAAACATTGCCGACCGTCATCGGACCCTTATCGCTTTAGAAATCAACATTCCAAAAGAGTTTAAAGTCGGCCAATGTTAAAGTCTAGTGGTCACCATTTGACATTTCCTGGTGCTTGCAGGCCTGCAGGCCAAAGAGCTGCAGAGCTTACTGTAAGTTAACTAGTTCAGAAGTCAAAAATATGTAAATCTAATTCAATTTGTTTGAAATGCATCCTCTCAGCCAAAATAAATGAGCGTCTGAAAGGAAATGCAAAAAGAAAAGAAATCAAATGGAAAGCGAAGTAAAAGGGGGAAAAAGGAAATGAGAAATTCTTTCCGGCGAGGTAAGCCTCTCAAAAGTAAATGACCCATTCACCACTTCGTGAAATTCTATTTAGAAAATAGTTTCAGGGTGTGATTGAGGGTGTTAGAATAGGAAAATGGCGTGAGGAGGGCCGAGACCAATCCGGCCCGATTAAAGATTCTTTGAAAGGATTGGCAAGGGACCAAAACCTCATCAATATATACGCACACATCCAGTAATCAAGGCTGTTTACTTTTTCGAATCAAGTAAAAGTAAAGGTAGAGAGAGAAATAAACAAAAAAGAGCATCAAAGCAGAAATAGGCCAGAGATTGAGAGGACTAACAAAAATGAATTTGTCGCCTACTGGTCACTTAGAGGGACTAGTAGAGATTCCCTTGAAAAGTGAAGTAAGCCAGTTCAGGGGAAGATTTCAATTGAACAGATAATTACAAAGGTAAGAAATAGGTAAAATCGCCTAATTATAGATAAAGTAACAATCTTTTAAAAAATCGGAATTTTCTCGAATTTCAGTCCATCGAGAAAAATGAAAAGAAGAAAAAAAACGAGTCAATAGAGGAACCGAGTCATGAAAAAGCACTTTGTCGGAACAGAGAACCAACTGATAAGTGAAAATGGCATAAAAAAGTGGAGTACCTTGAAAAAGCTGAACTTTCCTATCGATCACTACACAAGTAGGTATAAAATTCGAAAAAAAAAAGATAGTAAACAGTAATGATAAGGTAGAAAAGAAATGAAAGTGAAATAGAAAAAGAAAAAGTTCCTGAAAGCAAGTGAAAACTGCAAAGAGAGCAAGAGAGGGAGAGCAATCGATGGTGATAAAACGAATCGATTTTTGTTTGAGTGAGTAGATCACAATCGATAGCAAGAGCTGCTTGACCGACCCTTTTGGCTACTTCTCTGATCATCTTTTAGGTTACTGAAGTAAGGGAACGAAATGAACTTTTACTTTTCTCCATTAACTTTTCCCCAAACATGCCCTACTGGCAAATTACTAGTTACTTTTTAAGTAGAAACCAGTAAAAATGGCTTTTCCAAACCCATTTATTTTCCCTTGGAAACGTAGAATTAGCTGCACCAGTGAGCGATATATTGACGAGAAAGATAAATATCGAAAAAGATGAAACTATCGATTGATTTTGTAATAAAGATTTTTAATTATCCTGTTTTCAAATATTTTTATAAAAATTGAAAGACCGTAAAACGCCGTCAGAGATGTCTAGGTAACCATAAGAAATGAACTGCAAAAGGAAAAACAATGCAGAGCACGAACTCTGGGATATCTGGGAGTTAGATAGAAAGGCTCTTCTTTGAAAAGGGGATAGGAGTTGGAAGGTCAGAACAAAGATGGAGCTCTGCTAAAACAATTAGAAATGATTTTCCCCGAAAAAAAAGAGAAGAACGAAGGTGGCCTTACATTTTCGATTTCTGGCCAATCGTGGTGTTGCCGGCAGACGGAATATCTTATTACGGAACGGATTGATTCGACGTAAACTCCTGCGTAATGAGCTCTCCGTATCCATAGTTGGAACGGAGGCCAGCAGGAATGGACTGCCTGGCTGGCTGGGTGGCTAGTTAGCTGCCCCTTGGCTCAGTAACAGACAGTGAACAAATGAGTTTGCAGCACCAGACGAGGGGGCCGTAGGTCACACCCCTGGGCGGAGGGATTTCAGGCGACTGTCGACAAGTTGTGCCACCGCAGCAGACCGGCCCCGCCCAATCCCGTCGCGCCAACGACCGGGTTGGGGTGGCTGTGGGTGAAGGTGGTGGGGAGCGATGACGGACGGACCACGGCTGCATCCTCTCCTTCCAGCCGTCATTCCCCTCACTCCGATTCTTGCACCGCGACAGTCGCGACATTTACATATGCGACAACACAAATAACATCGGGTGCTGATAACGGGCGAATAATCGGCGCTCGTCAAACCCTTCAGAAGCTGTTCGGGTGACGCTATCGCGAGAGGTTGTGAACTCGTCCGAAGGGTCCGATTTTGAAGAGCTATTTAAATGGTGACGGTTACTTTTCTATCCATTCCATTTGCTTCTCTGCTCTTTCGTCGCGAAGGGTTATGGAAATAGGCGAAAGGTCCGATTTTTCACAGTAAGGAGAGCTTTATCATGGAAATTTTATTCATAATCCCTCATTTTTTCATTTTCCAACAGGACTTTCATCACAGGTGTCTATTACCCCGGCTTAGAGGGGTATAGAAGCAAAAAGGATGAGTAAAAACGTAACCAGTCCAGATTGCTCCCGGTGATTACCTCCATCCGATCCAGGACCCTTCCTTTTGATCCATTCATCTCACTTTTCTCCCTCCATTCCCCATTGTTTTCTTTTCTTTCTATCATTACAACTTTGACTTTCATCTTATTGACAGCTGGCATACTAGTTTACTGCACCGTCCAGATCCGGGTGAATTGTGGTTTCCTACAACTGCTGACTGGCACTTGCCCAGTACATGAAGTCACGTGGGCCAAGTGGGTGGGCATAGCTATCAGGGCAGCCAAGCAATTAATCTGATTAATTTCTCCCATTCTCTAAGTTCTTCGGTTTGTCTGATGGGAAAAGGGTTAGCTGGAACAGAGGCACGGTTGCAATTTCGACCCATTTCGTTCTCTTCGATCTTTTATAGCGAGAAATCATGAAAATGACTGGAAGGTCCGTTTTTTTCTAGTAGGAACACCTTTCTGAAGACCGTTTTTTCCCAGTAGGGGAAGCTTTACCACTGGATTTCCTTTAGTCTATTCATGATCCCTCATTTTTGCAAATTCCGACAATATTCTCATCAGAGGTGTCTATTATCTCGAATAAGAGGGGGAACGGGGCAAAAAGAATGACCAAAAACGTCACCAGCCCAGTTTACTCTCGATAACTACTTCCATCCAATCCTAAAAAATTCCTTTTGATCCATATATCCCAATTTTTCCCCTTATGTTACCTCTTCCTTTCCATACATCTAAATTTCTACAGCTTTCCTTCCACCAATGCAGTTCTCACCAGTTTGCTGCTGTGTTCAGAAGTAACCGAAGTTTTGGACCAGGAGGAGTGTTAAGAGGAACTTTGCTGGGTACATGAAGTCACGTTGACTGAATAACCCCCCAGAACAGCCAAGCAACTAATCTCAGTTCTTCGGTTTGTCTGATGGGTGTAAGAGGTTGGTTGGAGCCTAGGCTGGGGTGCAACCTGTCGTATGCCCACCTGAAGGCCCTGATTGCAGGGAAAGGCGGAAGTGCAGCAGTGACAGGTGGTGTCGTTACGATGTTTATGACCCGCGATTCGAATTGGTTTAAACCCCTACCAAGTAAGCCAGACCTTTCAACCGAGCCAAGACTTTAGGTTCCAGATGCCTCTGTTGGTCTAGAAGTATTGATTCCAATATGAGCTGGTCCCGAAATGGTATTGCCCTAGACAAATGCCACCCCGCTTACTAGTTGCTATACAAAGTACGTGGCCCTTTGAATTAAGACGACAATGGGTATCCTTACCCAGGATATCCCTTTATAATTCGATTATAACCGAGAAAAGGGCACATTCCAATCAAATTATCCCAAATTCCTATAGTGGCCAGTAGATTTGTTTATAGGGTTTCCTGTATGCCCTGTTAAAAGGGACCCTCCGTTCTTACTTCGAACTTTGCAGCGATAAATATAAACAGAGCAGCTGTGATGATGGAAGCAGAGTCTCCCGTTCACAATCAGCTACAGTACAGGAGCCAAAGTAGTTGAGTATTTCTGGAGTGCGGAAAGTTTGCTGGACATTTCAAAAAGTCATGGAACTCATACGCAAAGAACATCTGTGCATAACTCAGACAACGTGAAGCAAAAATCCTGTTTTTTCCCGACCCCTTTCAAAAAGAGAGAATCTTTTGGCGTTGATCAACCCCGTTTTTGGGATCCCATCAGGCATCCGACTTCTGTTCAGATTTGTAGCACCGTTTCGATGCATAGGCGGATTACACAACGACTTATGGGGCCTAGACTATCTGGAAGCGCTTTCGCTGACCCATTCGAGTCTGGTAACAATTGATGGGCCCCGGAGGGGAATGATTCACTTATTGTTAGACAGGTGTCGGATCGCGATTCGATCCATGACCATTAGTATAATTGTGCGTTGCTTGCACTACACCACTTTCTCCCGTCCAGGGTGACGAACCTCTTCACCCGGGACCATTTGGTCACAACTGCACGTGTTTCTTAGGACAAACACCCTCATTGAACATTGCGTGTCCAGACGTTTCACTTCTTAGCGCCGAGCAAAGCAGCTTTGATGAGCTTAGTTCGAATAGGACTAGAATGAGTGGCACATCATTGAAATAACTGATCAGCAATGACCACTTAATCCTTCAATCAAAAGGCAAAACACTTGATTCGAACAACTCACGTAGTCACGCAACGATCTTTCGTGTGTAAACATAACGACGCCCGAGTCATGTAACATTGACTAAGTTGACACTCACGCAAGTAAAGCAAAGCTCCCAGCCAAGACTGGGACTCACTCGGCAAATTAACTTTATGACAAAGTCCTTGAAAAGGATCAGAAATGATTTAAGGAACTGCAGTCACAAAACTGCACTATAGAAGTTAAAACTAATTGGAACACACCGAGGCTCTAAACTTTGATCTCTTCGGGGTCGATTAAGTGGTACCAGACCAGGAGGATAAAACACTGACTTGTACATCGGCTGGGCAAGGCAACTCATTGTATAGGTCTCATACTCATTCCATAAGCCACTCGATTCTGAATGGAAATTAAATGCGGGGCGCATCCCAATAAAACGTACTTGATGAATACCAAAGCTTTATCTTTTGACCTTTAATTTATAATGAAACCAAAAAAACTAACATGAACAACGGCCATCATTAAAACTGTAGCAAAAAAGCGGACCACTCTGATTTGTCCTAGGCTGCTTTCATAGTCCGCGATTTGGCCCGCGAGCGACGGGGGGGGGGGCTCTTGCCCCTTTTTACAACTGAATCTCGGTCGATAAGCCGGACGGGTAGTCCCCCGTCGCTCGCTCGCTCGCGAACTATGAAAGCAGACCTACCCTTTTCGGGAATTTTGAAGGAAGCATCTTGTCATAGTTCGAAATGGGCGACATTCTCGTTACAGGAAAGATGATGAAACCCACTTCCCCGCTATGAAGGAACAGGTGTTAGGACTTCACGAATTTCATTCCTGGATGTGCCACTGGATTCGACCTTCACTCAGCTTCATTTTAGTGACTGAATGGTCTTCCCTTCACATAGAGGCGCTCGGGCCAAATGACGATCTAAAGAGCGTATTTAGCTCCCCGGACGAGTTTGTTTCTAATTCACTATCTTCAAGATTAAATACCAACTGACATGGCCAGGTATCGATGCATGTGTCATAAGAGTACTAGTAGCGCCATCAGTATTTACTAATCCTAGCTTTTAGGTGGTAAGCTGAGTCAGCCTATATATTCCTTAGCTAATCGTTGCTATCACAATTCGGCAGAGAATTTGTAATGAGCCGAATACGATTCGTTTTGTCGGGCACAAATACTACTCGTATGTTTAGCCTTTTCATCCTGTCGCTTCCGAGTTGGTTCCTCAACAGATCCTTTGTGATCAAAAAAAAAAAAACTAAAAGTAATAGCAATACTCGTAATATAATTACATTTGATCTTGAAGGAACAAAAAGCTGATAACTTAAAGACAAA